ATTGCATAGAAAAATTCGTGTCGTCTCCAAAAATTCGTATGTTGAACGCTCGTACTAAGCACTGTGTGATCCACAATTATTATACAACGGGTGCTTTAACTGTATGCACATCATGCATGATTCGTATAGTTGACATTAATGATGGAGGAATGTATCACGTCAGAAAGCATGAGACCGATTCTTTCGCTAGATGGCAGATTATGCACAAATTGCAGAGTGGTTTTGTACATTATATTCTTGTGCAGCATGTGCCCACTCTGCACATCTTAAAAAAATGAATGCGAAAAACATACCTGAAGACTGTGATTCGTGGAGGAGAGACAAAGATGCGTAAATATTGCCGATGCAATTCATACGCGATTGAGAAATAGGTACACGTGGTGCGAAACAGGGAATCATTATCAATGACAATAACAATGATGAAAAAGAATATTGGTTCGGATAATTAGGAAACGAAACAGTGCATATTGATTTCGAGAGAGATTTTGGTACAAAGCTTTTGGTTTAATAAAAGAACAGTGTTATCACTCAATGAAAAGTGAAGAAAAGATTCAATATAGTTGCAGGCATATTAAGATTCCCGGATGGTGAGAAGTGCATTGAAGTGATGATAACGGACAAGTTAGTGATGCCATACTATGATCGCGAGGAGAATCCTGCTAAAAAAGTGTTTCGTGACTTGTGTGACAAGTATGCGTAATCAATTATGCTATCCCAGTAAAGAGTGCACTTTAGTAGATGAACATAATATCAAGGTGATAAAACATTATGACATTCTAGATGTAAAGCGGTGCTGCAACATATGTAAACGAGTCACGTGCAAGTGCTCCGTGTAAGAGTGATCTAAAGACTGTGAAAAAGACATGGAAAACCACGAGCGAGTGGAACTGCTGGAACAGTGCGGTCAGATCGCAACTCTGGTAGAGTGTTTCGCGTGGCTGCAACAATGTGATGAGTGCATCGAGGAGCTCGAAGAATTTTATCGTCAAGCATCCGCGCCTCGCCATTGGACACAGACAATCCGGGTGGCGAGGATCGCGCGACTCGCGGGTGCAAAGTCACAATTGGAGCGTTGATAACGAGTACGCGAGTGGCAATGAACGGTCTGGCAAAAACCGAGGCCGTATTCGAGAATCGTATATTGACAGGTGCGGTGATAAACTCTAATTACTTCGAGCCGCGGCGGTTTTTAGAAGACGCTGGCAATGTAATTCTAGAGTACGAGACGCTGTAGAAAGACACGATAATGTAAAAGTGAACCGCGTTCAACAGCGAATTCACGACGAAGGATAACCGTGCTAATAAGAGCATAATTACAAAGAATAGCGAGATATATCGATGCACCGATATGCCCGAGTGGTACGAGCGACACATCGTCGAATCTATCCTAGCATCGCTCGAAGTGTTCCAGGAACGTGACAGCGAATGGGTATTGCGAATCCTCAACTTGGACTGTTAACGTGACGAATAAACTAAATGCCCTGCGCGCAGGATGTTACTTCGAAATGCCGCGAGAAGTTATACTTAAGAAAGATGTGATCAAAGTGCATTCAATGAACAATACATGCTTCGCGTGATTGGTGGTAGCCGCTCTATACCCAGCTAAAAGTCATGTCAATAGAAAATCGTCGTATCCGCATTACACGACAGTGTTATGCTGAATCTCGCGGATATCGAATTTCCGATAACGTTCAAAGACATTCCGAAATTCGAAAATCTCAACAACATATTGATCAATGTGTACAGCATTGAAGATAAGCAGGTCCTTCCTCTACAGCTTACACGCGACAAAAAGGAGAAACGTATCAATCTCCTGTACCTACAAGATTCACACAACGACATTAAACACTTTGCGTGGATCAAGAACCTGTCGTGTCTCATGAGCTCATAAATTATTGGGAAAAAGAACAAGAAGTTTTTTTGCGACCGGTAAGTATGATAAGAAAAGCCAATAAAAATAAATAGCACCAAAAAAAATGATTTCTCTATTTACAGGTGTCTCCATTACTTCAGTTCGTGCGAAAAATTGCAGTCGCACGAAGTAGACTGTCAGAAGATCAACTGCGCCATTCGACTACCGAGCAAGAATGACAGGTGGTTCGAATTCGGCAAATAACAACCGGGAACGAGTGCTGTTCATCGTCTACGCTGACCTGGAGTGCATCTTATGGAGATGGAATTCAACAGGGAAGACGTATCAACAGCATGAAGCGTTTAGCATAGGCTACTATGTACGATGCGCGTACGACGACACATTATCGTCGTATCACTTCCGTCGCGATGAAGACTGTATGCATAGTTCGCGCGACAACTCAACGATTTGGCGCTTCGCGTGAAAAATATCGTATCCATCAACGTGCTCATGGAAACGTTTAAACAGCAATGGGAGGCATATCGTAACGCGACATTGTCACATCTGTGAGAAACTGTTCGCGCCGGACGATACACGGGTCCGCGATCATTGTCATCTCACCGGTAGATCCAACGCATTCGAGAGAGAATTATAACTTAAATTATAAAAATTCGTTTTACTTTCCGGTATTTCACAATTTATCGGGCTACGACGCGCATTTTATAATTAAGGAAATTGCTACCGCGTACAATGGATATGTAAATGTACTATCGATAACGAAAGAAAAATATATTTTATTCACTAAACATGTCGATGACACCAAAAACAAAAATGAAAAAAATTTTCAGAAAAATTGTGGTTCATTAATTCTTTCAAATTTTTAAATGCAAGTCTCAGTAAATTGGCGTCGTACCTCGACAAAGATAAATAAAAAATTGTATGTTCCGAATTTTGCAAGTTTAGCGCGGAGGATTTCTTCTCACATGAAAAGGTATTTTTCTGTATGAATACATTGACTGCGTCGAAAAATTGCAGGACACGCGCTTATCACCGCGCGAATTATTTTTCAGTTCATTTTTAGGCGATACCGTATCCGAGAACGATTACGCTCACACCGTGAATGTATGGCAGCGATTCTCCATCCGAACGCTCGGCGAGTACAGTGATCGTACTTGAAAACTGATATCTTGTTATTAGCCGACATTTCCGCAATAATTGCATCGCGAGTTACTGTCGATCCCACGCATTATTATACATTGTCAGGTTTCACATAGGACGCCATGCTGAAACATATGCGTGTAAGATTCGAGTTGCTCACCGACATTGATATAATTATATTCGGCGAGCGCGGTCGCACGGCGGCCTCAGTCAATGCTCCAGCAGATACGCGCAGGTTAATAACAAGTACATGTGTTCGTTTGACCCATCGAAACCATCGTCATACTACTTGGTGTACTACGTGAATAATCTGTACGGATGGGCGATGTATCAACCTTTGCCATACGCCAAATTTCGATGGATCGAAGACGCTGCTTTGACGTGAACGTGATCACTTCGGATTCACCCACCGGTTATATTCTCGAGATCGATCTCGAGTATCCGCAGCATCTACACGACCGATACATTGACCTACCTTTCTGCCCACGTGCGATAAACCGCCCGACAAACGCGAAGATAAACTTCTAGCGACGTTGTACGATAAGTAGCGTTACGTCATCCACTACCTGCAGCAATGTATTCGTCTAACATAGAACGCGCGCGAAAAACGATTTCGAAAAAAATTTGTATACACTAATGAGCAACGCAGTATTCGGTAAGATCATGAAGAATGTGCGCAATCACGTCGATGTAAAATTAATAACAAAATGGAACGGACGGTACGGAGGCAATAATCACGAAACCGAATTTTCATAGCAGCAGCGTCTTTGCGAAAAATTTGATCACCGTCGAAATGCGTAAATTCGAGATGAAGTTCAACAAGCCGATTTACGTGGGTATGTGCATACTTGATCTATCGAAAGTCTGCTTGTACGAATTTCACCACGAGTACATGTCACCGATGTATCGCGATAAATGCAAGATCATGTACACCGATACGGACAGTCTCATTTACCATATAGAATGTGACAATGTTTACGAGAACATGAAACACGATATCGCTAGATTCGACACGAGCGATTATCCGGCAGACAATGTGTATGGTATGCTTCTCGCGAACAAAAAAGTACTTGGCCTGATGAAGGACGAGAACAATGATGCGATAATGACCGAATTCGTTGGACTCAGAGCGAAGATGTGAGGGTGGACGGTAAGAAGGACACTAAAAATGCGAAGGGCGTAAAGAATAAGATCGTAGCGCGAATGATAACATTCGACGATTACATGCGGTGTTTGAACAAAGAGATCGATTGACTCACCATCAATCGTGTATACAATCTAAATTACACGAAGTGTACACGATATCCGAAAATCGCTCTCAGTCCATACGACGACAAATGATACGTACCGGATTCGACGGAGACGTTACCGTGGAGGCATTGGTAGATACTTTTGTAATATATGTATTATATGTATTATTTGTTTAATATGTATTATATTATATGTACAAGTATTATATATGAATTATATATAGTATATCAAATACTATAAGTAACCGTAAGATTCCTTCTGATAACAACTTAATTCATAAATTATAAATTAATAAATTAATATATGTAGTATATGTTGCTATTATGTATTACTGTTATAATTTATTTTTAATTTACTTTTTTTTACATTTATACAAATATTATTAGTATGTTTTTATGTAATAGCATTTATTACAATTATTACTTTTATATAATCATACATATATAATACATGTCGTATGTTTTTAACATTTATATATAATACGTATCATATACTACTAGTATTTTAATTTACACTTTATGTATCCCATGTTTTTATCATTTATGTGTATTACTATTATGTATTACTACCTATATACATTATGTATTCTGTTCGATACACAAGTTGTTACAAATAATTATGTATTTTGTATACTCCAAAACGAAGATGATGAATGGGGAGTAATAAAAAAAATATATGTTTATATACTTATATTGATATATTTTTTATAAGTAGAAAAAATACACGAATCAAAATTTTATCAAATGACATTGTTTTTGTGTATATTATGAATTGTGCGATCTCTCAAATCCCAATCACTTGACGTACACTTTGTGTCTCCCTTCCTGCACAGTACTTTCTCCACGAGATACACGTCTGGATGAGTAGCGCGATGCAACTCGTGCTCGTAAAACGCACCAATGACGAATTTTCCGCGATAGTTCTCGAGTAAGTAGGTTATGGGATTGGTATGCTGCACCTTAACGATTTTAAACATCTCGGTGATCCAATTTGTGTAACCCTTCTCAAAAATCGTCTTGTACTTGCTCACGTGTACCGAATCGCCCATTTTGAATTTTGCCGGACCAGCAATTTTTATCGCGCTGTACACTGTGCCCAAGAGTTTTTCGGCGATCGCAGGAATTACGTCGGCGGATCGCATGCCGATAGTGCGATGCTTTCGCGCGTTGTAATCTGATACAAGACGCAGCAGCTCGTCGATCCACTTGTAATTGCCGTTGAGTGTAAACGTCTTACACATGTCGTTTTTGAGCGTGCGATTGGACGTGCTGACACTTTCAATGTAGAATACGTAGAATAGTAATTAATATCGTGTTTTTTCAAGATTTTTTGCACATCGGCATTGTAAAACTTCCATATCCGTTTGAAAATTTTTCGAACATCTTCCACTCGCTCGAATTATCTCATCGATAGCATTAGCCGTCTTGCTTCCACCCTTGCTCTTGAGCGGTACGGTACTTGCTCAACACATCGATGACGATAAATATGTAGTTGTGCCTCTGTTGAAGCTCGAGTACGGGCGCATCTCGACGATATCAGCCTGCCACAGATCGTCGTATCCTCAAACTATGACGCGTCTTCGCGGAAAATTTCTTCTCGTCAGAGCGTGCAATTCCTCAACGAATCGACGTCTCGGAGCTAATTTTTCTCTTTTTGCTGGATCTCTTTTTCATGATACGATGTATAATACAAAGGGCAAAAATATTTTTTCTCGCTGACGCCACTCGACTGACTCGTTTCGTCTATACGCGATTTAATTTATAATAAGACCGGCTTTGCGAAGTTCTTCGATAATCGACAGCATCTCGTTGTCGTGAGCGTTGTTACCCGTCTGCGAAGCATCGAGCAATCGTAGACGATCCATCAGCTCGTTGGGATCGTCCCAGTGCATGTAATCAATCGCGTTATCGTTCAATGTCATTGCGTGAGGTAATCCTTTTCCAGATTTCTTCTTCTATTTCTTGGGTGTGGTCGACATCAACGGCGCGATTACGTATTTGTACTTGTATCCCCTATTACTCAATAATCGGCCCTGCGAATGATGCTTGTGTTTATGCACGTTCATCGCCAGCAGCATGCTCTTGTACTTGTTCGTCTTTCCGTAGAGGAGATCGTCAGGAATTCTCTTGAAAATTAACTCGTAAAGACCAGGTGTACCGGCGTATCGTACACCATCAATAATTATGTTGTCCGCATCATCCATGTGGAAATGTTTATTGTCAAACATCAATTCATCCTTGTGTAGATAAACACATAATCTATGTGTCTAGCCGCTCTTCTGTTTATCTCGCATTCTCCTCAGGACAGCCTCGACATACTTTTGATCTAGTGGGCCCAAACCATCTTACAACGGCTCTCGACCTTCCAACGTTTGCAATTGATTTTGAACCTTCGTGCTAGCGAGTCGTCCATCCTTTCGAAAACGTTCTCCAACGGCAATTCTATCGTCGGTATGATCATCGTGCGCGGAGTGGAGGTTATCGACTGCACACGATCGTGCGATCGATCGGATTTACGCAGGGTCGCGGAACGCTCGAATATCTCGCTCGCTTTCTCTCCCTTTCCCTCTCCCTCCTCCTCTTCTTCTCCTCCTTCTCCTCTTCTTTTCCTCCTTCTCCTCTTCTTTTCTCTCACGCTTGGAGGCAAATCCTGATTATCATCGCGCGACTGTCTCTTTATCGCGTGCACGCGGTGCTGTCAACGATCTGTCGCAGCGGTTTGATAATAAGCTTAAAATGCCTATTCAATGTTATGTCCTCCTCGATTTTACCGATTTTCAGAGCGCGTTTCTTGCAGATCGACTCGCTCGTCTTCTCTCCCGCGATGTTTTCACGCTCACGCACATCAGCCATGTTCTCTGGCGAAGTATCGACAACGACTAATCACGTTATGGTATCGCAAACTCTTTAAATCTCTTTCTTTATTTCTTGTCTTTAAGCGCACTATCCTTGTTTATCAGCAGAAATCCATTTTTTTTTGCGAACAGTCGCGACACAACAAACAGAATACGTCGTACGACATGTCGGTATTCAACGTGATCATTGTAAACGTGTTTCAAATTGTACAATTCTGTTTGAACAGGATAAGCAGATTCGCGTTGTAGCATATCAGATGTTTAGGTATCCTCGCGTACATCTGACAGAGATAGAAGCAGTCAACGTTCGTTGGCCCATTGAAAAGTATTCTCTTACCGCATCCTGCTTGTCGCATGCCACATCATCAGAGATAAAAATAGAATTTGGGCGCGCCTCACTCGATGGAACGACATCGCTGTTATTGGAGAACGCAAAGTAACCGATTTCGTCGATAGACATAAATAAATTTTCGAGATACCGATACTTTGGCTGTTGCAGCGATTTCGAGTAGACGTACACGTTTTCGAAACGTACGCCATTTAGATTCTCGAGCAAATTTATAAGAACATTGGTTTTATCGCAATCGACGGGCCGCAAATGATCGCGCGTATAGTACTCGGCAGCATTTCGCCGTGCTTGCACTTCTCCGCACTGCCTCCCATCATTCGCGATTTCGCGTTACAAACAATTTCATGCTCACCCTAAAGCTACGCGCTCTCGGACGATTATTTAAAGGCGCGCGAATCCATGAATCGCACAGTAGCAAAATATGTCTCGCACTGTGTCATCCTTCCGATATTCGAGACTTGAACGCTGAGCAGTTGCAATATATACCGAAGGTCATACTCTTACGCGTGTACTATATGGGATACGTCTGGAACAAGTAGATTCGGAGGTTCAAACTTACCATCGCTGGGAGGAGCACTACAATCAGCCGTGGCAAAGGACTCATACGATGGTCTCGCACTGAAGATAATGGACTGTAGCGAATGTTGGCATCGCGCGGCGATCTGCTGAATCGAGCGATAAACCTACTTCCTTTCGAGTTACATATTCCGAACTGCCAGATTTGCGGTCCGGGCACTCGGCTTATGAAGCGATTAGCCAGAGGTGACGCGAGCATAAATCCACTGAACGCGGCGCGCCGCGAACACGACATTGCGTATTCTTGGAGCAACGATCTCACCGATAGACACGCGGCGGACAAAGTACTCGTCGATAAAGCGCTCGCGGTCGGATGCGTCGTCGCGAGAGATTTGGCTCTGAGCGAGAGAGCCGCCGCTGCTGCAACGATGTTGCCCGTCTGGCCAACGATGAAAGCCAAGACCAAGCATGGACATGAAACCGAAGAAGAAGACGACGAGGAAAAAGGCGACGAAAAAGCGAATACTTCCGACGGCGAAACGAGGCGGTGCGTTAACCGCCTCTGCTAATGTTGGGCGCCCTCAGGTCCTTGATCGGCGGAGCGGTCGGCATGGAGAAAGCGGTAAACGACAGCAAAGCCCCGCGATGTCAGAAGAGCTTCAACGTCACGATCACGTAATAGAACAGGATCGCGGACTGTATCTCGCTTCATATAAATATGAACGCGGACTGTATTTCGGCCCGTACAAACGTGGACAGGGTATAGCTGCAAAAAAAAACTCCAAAAAGACAATAAAAATGCCGCAATTACCAATGTGCAAATAAATAAGCTCGCGAGACGTATGCGCATACTATACTTTAGAGACGTTTTCATGCGTAACACGTTACCGGAGAGCGGCGCGCGCTGAAACGAAAGCGATATCGTGAATCTGAACGATGCAACGGGGCCTGATACTCATTAGATAGCGTATGCGAAGAGGAACAATCGCGTCGTACTTTGACAGTTTCAGTAATCTTTGACCGCCCAACTGATGCGATATTTCGGGAACGGTGCTACGACAACAGAGTAGGGAAGACCGGGGCTCATTTTTTACTTTTGAATTTTTACAGACAAAATTAAGAGACTTATCGAAAAAATGAATTCTACACCAGTTACTACATACATTTGTCTACCTAATATTTTAATAATAAGGGGAAACTGATAATTAATATGAAAAAAACATGCATTTTTCTAATGCATTCCACTAGCCTTCCCTTATTCAACTAGTCCCGGGACCGAGTAATTCGATTAAGATTATTAAAATAAAGATTAATGCATTTTAAGCTACATCTTTGGCTACATATTAATAAAACTTTTATAAAAATATATATTTTAAACATAAACATTCGTTTCGCAGGGCAAACAATATTTTTTTTTGCAAAATTTGTTCATGTTGTTTCGTGCAAAAACACGTCAAATAAGCCTAGTTTTCGAGGTTGAACATGGAGGGAACTAAACTTATAACATTTATCACTGAGAAAAATCTCTTTAAAGGAATAAAATTTTAAATAAGTATTATAAGAGTCGTCACTGAGTCATACAGTTCCATGCTGTTAATCTACTATCCCCATCCGTTCATTTTTTAAAAACATTAACAATATACGATAACAGAGACACATAAACAAAAGAAATCTGTTGGACTTTATTAAATAAGAACTACACTTACTATCTAAATAGAAATCAAATATCTCAGACAATCATATGCGATAGTAAAACAAAAACTTTAAGAATAAAAATATTGACTTAGGTGTACGATTTTTTAAAATTGTGGTATAACTTCTATTATAGATGTGTTCGCAATAAGATGTTACAGCAGACTAGCGGCAGTCGCTACTGCGTGCTCAGACACGTTTACGCATGTTTCGCGTGTTTTATTTTTAATGTAGCCTCGATTATTCTACTTACCCCTATATTCAACTAACCCCGGTCTCCCCTATAATCGCATGTATCAAACGTACGATCAGAGCTTCTGCGGACAGATGTGTTTGCGGTTTCTGCAAACGAGACGCACGTGAATTTAAAAAGTTCGACAAGGTGCTGTGAAATCTTAATATTAGTCGAACGCTTTTTCCATCATGTCGTTGACGCTTACGCTGAGTGGGAAGAGCACCGTCCTCGCGGCGAACTACTATTCTGCCATAGATTTGAGTGACAGAGATTACGAGCTCGGTCTGACAATTTTTGAAACTTATCACACGATACTGAACGTGAACAAATCGAAAAACAAATTTTATTTCGCCAAAGACGACGCGGAAATTACAATTCCCGAGGGTTCGTACGAAGTGCGAGACATAAATGAATTTTTGAAACGCGCGATTTTACGGAAACGTCCGCACCGCGACGCGCTTGAAACCGTGACGTAGTACGTGATGACAATAATAACAACAACAATGACACCGATGACGATAATGGTGAGAGAAAATACCCGATTATGCTCCGCGCAAACTACAACACGATGAAATGCGAGATTAGATATGCATA